GTGCTTTGTGGGGTCACAAAGCCATCCAGTGATCCAGCTAGAAAACTTTGTTTTAAACATTGTTTAGGCTTTACTTCACCCAAACACTTCAAAACCCTTTTCAATATAAATGGAACTAGATGCTCTGAACTTCTATCAAGCACACTTTGTGACCACTCTGTTGGACTCTACAATAGTTGATACCAAAGTTGAGTCTTAAATTATGCCTACTCTCATGTTTATGTATAGCCACTGCATGGCTCAAACTCTAAAAACAGTCTTCTAGCTACTAAATGTAAAGAACTACAAAAATACACCATACAGTTGTAGCTATAGATGAATGGAGGAACTAGATGTTGCCTGTTTCTTTAGTTAAACTTAGAACAGGTTTATTTACCACACTCACTCGTACAGATCTGAGAAGACAGCTGTTTTACAACTCTTCAGGAGTCAGGAGATAACAAAACACCTCTCTGGTATTTGATAAATGCCCATGTGGAGATTTTCTCCTTTTCATTTCTAAGGGAAGTGATGTTAAGGCTTTCTTGTGCTGGCTGTCAAAGGCTTCCACTGTTAAGGAGTTTGTGAAGGTAAATGAAATAGATGAAAGTAGATCAAACATATGCTTTAGAAGATTGTTATTCTTGAGTAGCTGAATGAAGCACAACTGACCCAGATGATGATGAAGTGTGGGACAGCTCAAGATGAGAATGGAAAAAAACAGCTTCCAGACTGCATTGAAAGTGAGGATGGCCTCATTCTTACACCTCTTGGCAGGTACCAGGTAAGAGAAGAAAGTTTCCATATTGCTACCCTACATTGTTTTTGAGAAAAGTTACCTTCTACAGCCAAGAGAAATGCATTTTTTCTGGGGGCTAAGAGAGGTTCCACTATAAAGGCATTTCAAATGGGAGCTACTAGATACAGGGTTTATTTTCCTGTTCCTAGATGATAAATGGCTTACGTAGATTTGAGGTACAGTATCAAGGAGATACTGAGCTTCAGCCCATCCGGAGCTATGAAAATGCCACTCTTGTCCGCCTCTTATTTCGTTTATCCTCAGCACTTAATGAAAGGGTAAGTACAGTACCAACTTTTTATATTTTTCATTGCAAATTCCTGTTCTTTTTTGCAACTAAGATAGAAAAAGCAATCTATTTCTTCCTATTGGTGTGATATAGGATGGAAGTCTACACTTAAAAAGAACTGCTTTACTGTATTTGAAATACTTTTAAAAAATCTCTTATAATACTCCTATCCCCTATCCTCATCCTATAAAAGAAAATTGTAAAAATAAGTTAGACTTACTTTGTTAGTTGCAGTAGAAAACTAATGTTTGAACTTTTCTTACCTCAGTTTGCTGATCAGATGGATGTGCTTTGCTCCAGGGAAGATTTTGTTGGCAGATTTTGTCGCTATCATCTTACCAATCCCCACATCATACAGAAAATCAGGTATAGTCCTGTGCTGAAGGACAGAACAAACCAGAACTGGGGACCAAGAATCAGTCTGAGGTTTCTGGCTAGCTACAGGACTCTCGTTTCCTTGCTAATGATGTACTTCATTGCATCCTGGTTTTACATTGGGCCAGTAGGTTGCACGTTCATTATCCTGTTGGGCTATTTTCTTTATGCCGTAATAATGACTTTCTTCTATGAAGGATGGAAACCACATGAACACTAATTTCCTTCTCTCAGCTTATACTTGTAAAATAAATCATCCTGGGATATTCAATGACTAAACTGTGTGAATTATCAGATCTTCTTAAAAGTATTTTTAAATACTAAAGTCAGTTGAGTTTTTAAACAATTGTGGTTGTGTGGAATATTCAATGTAAATTTTATTTTTATAAAAGCTTTCCTATGCAATTGAGTGTATGTGAGTGTTTTTTTTTTTGAGCATGGGAAGAATGTGCCACCACACTGAGACCAAAGGTCCGGTTTCTTTTTCATTATGAATGCTAGATATATTAAAGTCATTGTTATCTGTTATACATTATCTACTAATGCAACCCCTGTTCTAGAGACATGGCCTAAACTCTGTTGGTCTGAAGGATAGCATTTATCTGGTTGCACTACACAGTAGTCCATGTATTTAGTAGGTTATCCAGATGTGACTCACCTTATTCCATGCCATTTTACAGCACCTACAGGACTCCATCCTTCAGCTTAACGTACACACATATTCAGCTCCCTCAGAAGTACCATTCATTAAGGTTGTTCCTCAAACTAGATTAGGGAGAAATCATAACCACTGCTTTGTTTCTTTCACAAAGTATACATCTACAAACATTTTTATTCAGTAACACAGAAGTTACGTGCTTGCCCAAACTGCCACTCATGAACACTCCTGAAAAAGGGTGAGAACTTGAAAAAACAGAAGAGAAGTCATACCTATGTACTACAATCAGTTGTTTATCACCAAGTTCACTCTACTTTGAGAAATCCTATCAAGGTTATAACTAAGTCAACTCCTTGCAGTCCCCCACTCTATCTTTGAAAGCAGGACTGCTTAAAGAAGGAGCTAGGTGACTTCTGAGGGTTAAAGAGAATTAAGGGAAAATAATTCCAGAACAATTGAAAAAAGAAAACTAATGTTCTGTCACTTCCCAACATGAATCCACGCAAAGAAACTATACTCATTACAAAAATTGCCTTTGCTTATTTACTACCAGTCCCACTTCCTCAGAGATTCACATTATCATTCAAGTAGAAGGGACCTAAAAAGACTGAGTCCAAGTGCCTGATCACTTTAGGGCTAAACAAAAGTTCAAGCATATTAACACGAGCATTATCCAAATGACTCTTAAATATTAAATACTGACAGGCATGGGGCATCAATCACCTCATTATGAAGCCTGTTCCAGCATTCGACTGCCCTCCTCACAGTAAGAAACTTGTCATTCCCATGCATGCTGTCATTTGTTACCAGGTAGAATAGACTGGCCCTGCTTGAGCAACGAGGTTGACTCTCAGTCTCCTTTTTGTCAGACTAGACAATCCAAGCATCCTCAGCTTCTCCTTGCAGGGCATACTTTCCAGTCCTTTTACCAGCTTCACTGCCCTCCTCTGGATGCTTTTTATACTGTGGGATTGAGAACTGCATACACTATTTAAGGTAAGGCTGGTTATGCTGCATTTAATGCACCCCAAAATGAGGTTTGCCTTCGTGGCTGCCAGGGCATACTGCTGCCTCAATATTGAGCCTGTTGTCGACAAAGAAGACTCAGAGGATAGGAACTGCACTGCTTCCTATAGCCCTTCTCAAATAGAGGTGCTGTCTATATGAAACATTCTCAGAAAACTCATAGGTGAGAAATAGAGAGGATGCATGGTAATATAAGCCTCTTTTGGAGATAGCTTTTTATCAGCATAGAATTATAAAGAATTCCTTTCACTTAGACACTAGCATGTGTCAACATTAGCTACAAATTTCTCTCTAGTATATTTCATGCCTTTTATGATCAAATTTTGCCTTTGGTTCTACAAGCAATAAAGCTACTCCCTTTGTACAAAATGAACTAGGTCAGAGCAGTTGTTGCACCCATACAAGAGGTGTGCTTTAGTTAACAAATCTGGAAGAACAGGAACATCCAACACCAAAGTGTCCTTGGTTCCAGGAAGAAAAACTAATTCATTCAAAACAATAAAACTTTGGGGAGGTAAAAGTTCTCTCTGAAGCTGGAAGTCTAATCAGCCAGGTAGGACACTACCACACAGCTCAGCAGTAGGACAAGAACTGTAACTTATTACCTTTCCTAATTGAAAAGGAAATTGTTTCAGGCAATCACAATATTTATTTAGCAATCAGATTGATAGCCACCCAATGCCCATTATAAAAAAAGGCGATTCTGCCACCAATGAAACACTAGTGAACAACTTTGTTGAGAAGCAGAACTCAGGCTATTAAAAGAAGCTATCTTCAAACTGTTCTTGAAGTCAACACTCCTGTTCTTCATCTTGTTTCCTTACGACTCCTTTGACCTCTTACGCTGGACTTCCACAACAAATGTTCAACTGCTATTATCACTTCATTTCAAGTAAAGTTTGATTATGACTTCATTTTGTACACCAGTTGTTCAAGAAATGAAAGGATCAGGCTTCCGTATTTCTGATTTCACAACATACTTGTCTATTTCTGAAAGGTACGAATCCCTGAATTGTTCATAACATGTATTTTCTGAATTGATTTTGAAATGACAGTGCCCCTGACAGCTGATAAAGTACCCAAACGCTGATGATAATTTATTCCCAACTTGGTGCACCTTTCCAAGGATTTGGGAATAACCTTGCATTTATTTATTAATTTTGAAAATATCTATGCCTGTTTATGACAGTTTGCGCATCAACAGAAAAGAAACCCATCTATGTTGGTATCAAGCTATTAACCTGACGTGCTGCAGACACATGATCAACAGTTTTCAATATTTATTTCCCAAATGAAATGTTGTGGCATGGTAGGATGCCTACCCCACATCAACCTCTCAGTATAACATCTTATGTCATTTTTGAAAGAAAACGACAATGACAGCTCTGAAAACTGCACTAAGGGAAGTATTGTAAACCTGAGGGACATTTATAGTATATTTTGCATCCATTTCCAGGTATGCTTTAACCAAATTAAGAAACAAATGCTATGTCTGTTTTAGCTTTAAAAAAGTCTCCATCCTCATTTCTTGGGTTATGACAATTATAGACAGACAAAACTTTTGTGATGTGAACATCTCTCCACCAGAACTGGATTGACACCACTGATTCTTTTGGTGCAAAGAGGCAGTCACGTAACAGTACCTGTTAAAAACCTACATCTTTTGTTTGTAGACACCATGACTGATCTCTTGACCAGGTCTTCCAATTTACTATGAGAACAGTAGAGATAGTGTTGCATGGAATGAAGAGCCATTTATGATTTCTTCTCCTGACCTTCAAAGCATGAGCTTTCACTTACCATAGAACAAAGTAACCATCATCCAATGGATGCAACAGAACTGGTATCTGAGGATCAACATGGGAAGAGCAGCATAATGTTAGCATCCAACACAGGAATAATAATAAATTTATTACAATAGAAACAAACAGATAATGCATTAGTTCATATACAAAATACTGATAGCATTCTGCTGCCTCAGTCAGTGCTTACTAAGTACCCACATTTAAAAAATCCTAGAAGTTTTGACATCACACAGATTTACATAGGTCATTGCAATTTCATGACACTACCGTAAGAGAGTCCAGCTACTCTTTAAGGTTTGCTGCACAGTACAGAGAGGTGGAGCAGGATGTAATGGGAAAATCTGAAATTTTTCTGCACTAGGAAGTTGAGTGAACAAATTACAAGAATGGGAAAAAAAACAATCACACTATGCATGAATTTATAGTTACTCATGGCAAGTGTTCTCATTAGAAGTGCCCAACTATATACTAGCTGGTGACCAGCTTGAGTGCCCATCATTGCTCAAGGCACAAAACATTAGTTGTCATTTCTGTTCCTGTTTCTTCCTTCACTCTCAAAAAAAAAAATAATAATTAAAAACAACACCATGTAGTATGGAAGCATTTCCACTAAACTGCATCAACTCCCCCAAGTAAGCCAGATGCCTTAGAGATTGATTCTATTCCATCAGTAAAAGACAACATATAGCTACAAGGCTGCTGGATTGATTTCTGGTACTAGAGCTTTAAACTGTTGTTTCACCACCACCTTTACACACACATATTCTTACAGGGGAAGTCAGTCTGCACACTGATATCTCCTCTTTCTGATCACCTCATTTTTGGAGCAAGAGAAATGTGGTCCATGCTAACCAAAAACCATTTATACAAAGTATCATTTAAAAAAAACTATTAAATATATTCTCTTCTATTTGGTCTCCCCTCTTCCCCAACATAATTACCCAGATTTATCTCACATATTTGAGGGATGCCCTTAAAAGGCTATAATTTATCCCATTCCTGGGCAAAGCTAGTAGGCAAAAGATTCCTTCCAAAACAGGGAAGTTCGCAAGCACATTATAGCTGCAGCTTATTTATTTCTGGGGTGGCATCAGGTCACAAAACATACAATGTGAAAGAAATACTGGCACTCTGCAAACTGAAGCAAATTAGAGCATTCTCTCCCTGCTTCCTCTTTTAACAATCAGACTCCCTGATGGAAGTCCACAAATAATTTCTTCTCTAAGAAGACAATAAAAACTTCTCCTAATACAGTCTCAAGAACCATATATACACATTTTGTATATTTGAAAATGCTGGCAAAAGTCCACAGAGGCAGAAGATAAAAAGCATGAAAGCTAAATCTAACACCAGGTTCCCTACTGAACCCGACACCTAGAAACAAAACAACATAAGGCTTCTTTCTTCTGAAGTAACCTCCCCAAAATGCCTGTGGTTTTCCAATGGCACGTGGAAAAGGCCAGCTTTCAAGACCTTATTTCTTGATTCACGATTTAGGAAGTGAGATGTTATGCAGCAGAGAGGCAGGCTTGACGAATACTTTGTGCCCAGGTGTTTAAGAGTGCTGTGACTGAATGCTTGTCTGGAAGTTGCAATAGTTTTGAAGTCATGTACCGATACACTGACTGCAAGAAGGGATTGGCTGCTGGAAAAGAAGATAATGGATAGAGTTATAAATACACAGACACAGTCCTCAAATTTCCCCAACACTACTACATACACACGCCCCCAAAATGTCACACTAGCATCCTCATACCATACTGTCTAGGGTTTTTTATCCACAGAGGGCTCTGATCAGGATAGTCTGCTGGAACGCTGAGCTGTAGTGGCGGGACGTTTGGAAGATTCTTGTCATCTAGAAGGTAAGCACATTTCCCATCAGAATAAAGCATGTTTTGCTGTATGTACATTTTTTTCATACATCATTCAGCATGGTTTCTAGTCTCTGAGCACCAAGAAGGAACCAAGGTGTACTTTTCCATTTCTGTTGTACAGCAATCTCATTGCTCACTTTAACGACACTTAATTTCTTGTTAGGAAAGCCTGGCAAAACACAGCTCCATCTCTTAAGCATTTTTGCACATTGCCAATCATTTCATTAGCAGACCTTCACTAAATTGGACACCTCATTTTTGAGAATTAGGTGCCTTCTGTACTAACATTAAGATGAGAACAGTTCAGATTTCTCAAACAATGGGAGGGAAAAAATCTGTTTTCCCCATTGGAATACAAAAGCAAAACAAGTTCATAGACAGTAACACTGTCTTCTTACTCAGCTGAGATAGAAACAACAAAGTTGTGATCTGAGTTCCTTTTTCGAACATACATCATTGTCAGTCATCATTAGTACAAATTGTGATAGACCCTTCCAGAGATTAACTCACCATTTCTCCATCCGACTCATTGGAGATGGAACAATTCTCACATATCAGCACAAATCAAGTCAAGAATCAAGACTGTTGCCAGCAATAAGTAATTTTCAAGACAACGTATGAGTCCACTGATTTCAACCCTCAGTACGAGGAACGGATTGTTTAGCATGAGTGAAATTTCCATGCATTCCCTGAAGCTCCTCTACAACACTGATAAGTACAGACTTCACACAGAAGTCACAGGTTAGCAAATTTTAAAACTAAGCAAAAAAAAACTTCTTCAAATTTCTAGAATCAAGATCAACAGTTCTTTCTGAATTCAGCCCTTCGTGTCTTCTCACTTACCTAGCTTGCATATAAGATGAACTGTTCCATTATTACTGCAATGCGAGGGGTCCAGGTTCACCAGGAATTTAGGATTTAACCTTGCAACTTCCCCTTGTAAGACATTTGGTATGGTCTGTCTTTCATCCTCTTCATATTTCCGCTTTCGAGGGGAGACAACTGGGGCCCTATGTAAAACACAATACACAAAAGAACTAGGTGAAAACATTATACCAACACCACATTTGTCGGATATTTTACAGGTGTAAAAAGGAAAAAGGTACAACTCAAACCCTGCCATAAACCCATCCATTCTTTCAACAGTTTGAACAAATATTTTTTTCCTAAAAAAACAAACATTTAATACAAACATCTGGTTAAGGATACATACGTGATTGGTGGGCCATGAATTGCAGTCATAGCCGGCATAAATGTACGGTAAAGGGAATGGTTGAAGACTGGTGAACGGATGTTGGCCAAGACAGCATCCAAAAGTGGCTGACACAAGTACTGCTGTTTGGTGGGGGGCACTGGGGGAGGAGGTGGAGTAGGCTATAACACAAAAGGACCACATTTTCTCTTAATAGTCACCACAAATAAAAACATCTCTACAACTTTACAGCAGTAAACTTCCAACGCATAAAATGCAAACAATTCTCAAAACTGCATGTGGTAACATGAAGAAGTCTGCATTTTCCACTTTCAGAAGTATGTCCTGAAATCAGCAGCAAAAATTCACAGAAAGAATTACTCAAGTGTTCGCACAGAACACAATGATTTGAAAGCTCACCTACAAGGTGATTTATGTGAAGTTTGCCCATTTTTTCCCCCATTTTCTTATTCTGTCCAGCTCTACTTGAAGTTGTAATGGCATAAGCAACATAAAAATGAATCACTTATCTTTTGCTAAAGCAAAGCAAAACACATACCACAGCCATATCATTCTTCAGCTTTTCCAGAGCAATTTCACATTTCTGCAGTGTCTTCAGAGGGCATCTGCAGAAGAGGAGAAAGTCCGTCATCACAAAACAGTCAACTCAACTTAAGTGTTTCTGTTGCCTGAACCCTCCCAACCAACTTTAATACCAACATAGCTGGATGCTGAACAATAAATTTCTGAAAGAGTTAGGGAACCTGATATCCAGACAAAATGAAAAAAGTTACCGTTTTGAAGGATCAGTCAGGATATCCAAGAGACTCTTCATTTTACTCAGATCCTTCTTCCTATCTGAAATAATATCAGAGACACAAACATTGACTACAAGAACAGCTTTCACACTTACAGACGGAAATACAGGATGCTGTTAGAAGTGAAAACGTTAGCCAACACTGAAGAAAGCAGTGAGGATCAAAGATCTTTTATCTCACCATAACCCATTGCATAAGCTCTAACAGAATGTGTCCCAAAAACATCAGAAGTGAAGGAAGACTGGTGGGAATTTAAGGATGAGGATTTTACCCACTCTTCACAGTAAAATTTTACATTCCTGGGGAAGAAAGAGTAACTGTCACTGTCATTTTTAATCCCTGGAATAAACCATCACAAAAAGGCAATGCACTGCTCTTCCATCAGAAGAGAGAGTTGACAAAGAAACACATGACTAAATACAAGGAAGCTCACCTTCGTTTTTATCTATTTTATTGATCATCCTACGGAGTGGTTCAATGTATTTTGATAACTGTTTGAGTTTCTCCAGATACTGTTGCTCCTCTGACTGGCTAGAACTGGCTGGACTCATGACAGAGTTTGGATTTCCTGCCAAGAAGTAACGACTGTATGTCACATGGATGATAAAAGATAGTGCAGAACAGCATTCTCACATTTCAGACTCTAGATTTGAAATGCAGAAACTCAAAGCATAGCTCAGGTCAAATACATAAATCCACAACTGGATGCGCATCAAAGTTTAAGTTCTTGTCCAGTCCTCTCATCTTTTTAGAGTAATTATGTCAGACAGCAAATGTTACAGACAGAACAGCAACTCCCATTTATTATTTTTATTTTTTTCCTGAAAAGGTCCACATTCTCATACACGTATTTCCTAGGTCTTCATTTTGCCTCACTCTGGTGCATTAAACACTACACCAACACTGAATTTGCTGCAGTATTCCTTAAGCCCATGCTTTCTAATCTGCAGAGCATACAACACTGGTATGAGAAGGAGCCAGTATGTTACTTCATTTCACAGTATCAGAAAGTGTTTATTACAACCAGGGTAAAGAAGTGCACAAGTGTCACAGTACACCTAGGAAGGTGTTTTAGAGGAAAGCAGTCATTAAGTGATTATTTCCTTTACAACTTCACACCATTGCTAAGGACTCCTTTCTGCACGTAACCAAGGAATCACTACAGTTGTAAAAACCTGCTTAATTAAAGAAAGTACCGTCCTTTCTTTCAAAACAACAGGGAAGTTGGAAAAACCCACTATATAGGTTCAATGATGAGAAAATGGGTTTCAGTTGATTTCAATAGGAGATACTCATGTTGTGTAACATCATACATGCAACAAGCTCACTACTTGCAATGCTGTCTGTTTATCAAAGCTCTTTAAAGCTTCAGTCATGCCAAATAGTAACTGTAATAGTTCCTAAAGGCCTGTTATCAAAATATACCCCAATTCATGGTCTGCATTATAGACCTCAGGTCATTTACCTGGAGTGTTTAAAGGACCTGGGGATGGGACGCTAAAGTTCTGAGGTGTTCGTGCAGCTGCTGGGCTCTGAGATGGTTGTGGGGATGGACTGGGAAGAAAGCTGCTGGGTGATGGAGCTGGACCAGAGCTGAAAAATAAGAGTAAGTTTAAAAAAAGGAAAAAAATGTAAAATCAAACCTGCCAAAGTCTAACAAGGAAGCATGATCAGCCTGCAAACAGATAAGCTTTTAGTAACCACTGCTATGACATGTTGAATGCTTCTAAAAACTTCACCTCTTCACCTTTATGGTTTTGACAAAGGTCTTCAAAAGTTATAGTCTAGCTCACCTCACATTTGAGTTTGGCTGAGAAGTTGGTTGGCCTGGTTGAGGAGATGGCTGTGGCTGTGGTGGTGGAGGCATTGATTGGGGTGTCTGAGCTTGTTGGACAGGAGATGGGGATGACATCATGGTAATATTGTTCTGGCTCACCTGAAACAAGGAAAAAGAGTAAGATCAACAACAACAAAAGGGAGTTGATGATGGGAACCTAAATTAAAGGTTTTATCTATGGAGAGAAGCATATCCTCAGCCCTACAAGAAATGAAAGCATTAGTTTCCTGTTCTCGTCCACAATGAAACAGTCTCACCTGTATCTCTCTTGAGGATATTATGGCAGTACTTCATATTGACTTCACTAGAAATAAACGTTAAAACTGCATGCAATCAGATAACTGTTTCTCATTTCCCAAACCAACATATTGCAGTTAAAGCGTCAGAAGTACCATCCGAAAAACTTGTGCTTTATTAGAAATAGGGTAAAGAAGAGCAGGGGAAAAAAGACAGTTCTAACTTGAGAATTAACAGCCATTAAAAAAACTTCTTGTTTTGGTATTTTCATTACAGCCTTCAAAGGTGTGTCAGATTTGTCTGTAGCTTCTCAAGCGGTTTTCTTCAAGAGGAAAGAAGAACAATTAAGTAAACGAAACCACCACCATGTTGTTTAACTATACAGCTTTGCAAGTCTGGGTGGAATGTCTGGACGGAGAAGTGTGAAGCAGCTTTCTGACCTGTGGAGAATGATAAGGTATGCCTAAAGAGCAAAAAGAAAAATAAGGAATTTTCAGAACAGCACCAAACTCCAGGCAACAACAAAGCTTATTCTGCACACTATAAAGTCCAAGAGCCAGGTGACGCTCAGATTAGAGCAACCACTCGTGTATGTTCATTTCATGGTCGTTTTTCCCCTTCATCAATTAAAAACAAACAAAAAATATCCTATACCAGCCAGAAACATGGTATAGTAATGCAGATATTACATAAGCATAAAGCACATAAAGAATTCTTATGTTTTTATGTATGTAGGCTTAGGTCATCAGTCACACTAGCCTGTAAGACCACATATTGTGACTCAGTAACCGATGCAAACATTCTGCAAGTCCTCAATTGGCACCTTTATGAACCAACAACTCTTTTTCCATCAGTATAAACTGTTTTTAAGCATAAGTCCCCTACCAGCCCTAGACACTTCATGGGCACTGTCAGTTTGGTGCTGTCCTTCATTCAGTCATTACTTATCTACCTGTATCATCCAACTGTTTCCAGGGGACACTGAATGCAACATGATTTGCTTTGTATGGAATATCACATTACAGCTATGTAAGAAAAGCATAAATAAATGATGGGCCCAAGCACTCCTCAGCTAGGTGCAAATGTAAAACTACTAAACTTGAAGATACTAGTTAACTACAGCACAGTTTAAAATCAAATACAGCCTGCAATACTATGTGTTTTTTTTTCCAAAAAACCTTCATTAGCTCCATTACCTTCCCAACCTCCTCTACAAAAGTAACATCCAGAACAAGAGTCATTAACAACCTGTGTTCACTCAGCAGTTGGAAAATATTTGTGAGACTGAAAAGCATGATCTACTTCCTATAGAAACCAACCACCTCAGCACCATAAAGAAACTAGAATGAACACTCCAAAGAGTACTCCCTGTATTTTTTTGCTATTCTATTTAATGTTCTTCTAAACAGCAAGTGATTTAGAACTTACCCATAGAGGTGTTGTACCCATTTTCATCAAGTCAAACTAAGATCACTTTTGAGTGGTTTAGCACTTCTTGAAAACCATGCACCTTTAAAGCGTCTCAAGCTGGTTACATAAAATCACTTTTGAAAACTTAAATCCTTGTGTTTTAGGAAGGAAGGAAGGAACAAAAAAGATTGCATTAAGGTCTGTGCCCAGATTCAAGCCTCTGTATCTACTTCAACACCAAGGTCCCTTTACATTAGTTTACAAATGTTGCAGAAAAGCAAAGAAAAGAACATACAGCACCTGATATAAGCATAAAATACATTAGTGCTGTCATCTTTTTAACAGCATTACCTCTTCTCATTAAGTACATACAGAGGCACACAGCTTTCCTTCTTGCAACAGGTTTGCTCTCTGCTGGTTTCATTTCAGAACTCTAAAGGCTAGTATCTAATATCACACAAAACTGTGATACTTTCAGTAACTTTTACTCAAAAGTATGCAGTTCCAAACTTACTGCCTTATTTTTCTTTGAAAGTGGTTAATTTGCTACACAATCATTTTAGATGTCTTTGTATGGTTTAGATATAAAGATACCTTCAGCTTTAGATTTCCACATTGTTTCAGGGATATGCACTGAGAATATAACAATTTAATGAAATTTCAACTTCTAGGGAATGCTCTTTACAACAGACTCACAACTACCACAGCTGAACATGAAGCAACCCTGCAGTGACCTGATCACAACACCGAAACCTATCTTTGAAGTCATGCCCAAAACTTACTTATGCTTGCATGACAAAATTTTGCGCTCAATAATATTCACTAAATCAAAGCTATTCCTAGTGTTTAGAGTATAACATGCTGGAAGATAAACTTAGCTATGAGGCCTACCTCCATTTAACTAAGTATCAGGCAAGGAACAGCACTCAGTAGACAGCACTGAGTTTTTCAGGGACTCTCTCAGTACCAAGCCAGTACAATATGCAGAAACTAAAAGCAAGGAAAAGGAGGCTGCAATGAGGAAGTAATGGGTAATAATGAGGAAGAGCAGAAAGAATCTGAAATAAAAAATCTAGAAAGCATTTTAAACTACTGTACTTACAGTTTTAATGTTAAGCCAGTAAGCACAGCCTTGCCTATTCTGTAGCAAACTGGGTTTAAAGTTCACCATTATGTTGCTTTGCGGGACAAAGCAAAACCTTTGCAAAAGGTTTTCCAAGCCTTTTGCCAAACCTTTTTTTCAAAAGAATTCAGATACTGGTTTCCATATTCCCAATCAGGACAATATACCTTGCTTTATTTTAATATTTAAATCAGTTTGACTTTTTCCCTAGATTTTTGGTTTGCTGAAGATTTCTGCACCAACCATAAATTGGAAGTCCATATAAATGCAGACTGCAATAGATTTGTAGGTAGAACTTGGAGGTTTTGACACTAGAAATACAACAGAGAGATTGGGATTAATACATTAGTCATCTAATTGCTAAAACAAAATCTAACCATAAGATTAACCTTTCAAAATTCCTATCAGTAGGTTTCTTGGACCAATACAAATATTGTGTAGGAAACTTTCCTTAGCTGTTTAAAAAGTGCTGAACTTTTTTTTTTCCTTAGTGTTCAAGAACTAATATTGAGTGTAGTTCATGTATGGTAACTATTCAGGAAAAAGCAAACTTCAGCTAAGAAAAAAAAATAATCTAATTAATAGCAAGAGAAATCAACAACCTACTGAACAAAAAGAAACCACTGCAGAATTAACTGAGCCACGTTAGAAGGACAGAGAAGAAGTGTGTCATACAAGATAAAAACAAATAGCCAAACAATATGGATATAACAGCTAGTTCTTCTGGTGAAAGGGACTCTTCACTGTAATACCAAGATTCTCATCTAAAGTGAAAGGACATTCAGAGCCATCTATCATGAAGTCTAAAGACTTCTTAATACTGTAAAGAGATGACAGAGTCTTAGATGAATAATACCAGATGTAAGCTACAACCATTTGTCTCCTATTGTGAACAGCTTCAAGAGCTCTGATGACAAGGTAATTAAACATATCCAACAGATAATATTATTTAAGCATTTACAAAACTAAAGAGGCATAAATAACATTTCTAAATTCCGATTCACCTAGAACCTGACAAAATGTTTTGGCACAGAGCACTAGAGATTCACACTGATCCAGAGCTATCAATTGCATGGCACGTCAAGCTGTCTTTAAAACAATGCTTCCCACTAACAAAATGATGACTTACTCGCTTAGCCTACCACATGTTTAGGAGCCATTTTCATAAATAAGTTTTTTCTTCTTCTTCCTTCTTTGGTTGTTCAGTTTTCTACAACGTTTTCACAGTCCTTGACATGCTACTGAGAACTCTCCTTATTTACCGATTCTCCTGGTGTCATAAATCAAAGCTCCTCAACAAGCACAGACATGACAGCACTAAAAGGTCAGCCCACAGCACTGAACGCTTTAACTAGAGCCCTTCTGTTATGACTCAAATATAAGCTAATCTAATACTTAAATATCCTTCGGAAGGCCTCACTGTCAGTCCAAATCAGACTGTGAATACTTCATACTGGAGGTGATTGTCTCAGTGTACATAAACTGCTACAGCAAACAAAGCTCAAAAGTAAATTCTCCTTTGATTCAACAGCTATATCTGGGTTTTATTTCAGTTAACATAGTTACCTGGATAGAAATGACTGACTATCTGAAACCAGAAGTGATGGACATGCTTGCCTAGGTCTGCAGAATCTTTCTGATCACATTATCTACCTTAGTAAATACCTGCGAAGAATGGGGCTGTCTCTACTAAACTTGATGCAACAGAAATAAGCAAAAATGCAAAAGTAAAGAAACCTATAAGCAAAAGGCAGCAGTGTTAAGAAGTAAAATTGGTAAGAACTAAGTTCTATTTCAGTCCAGTTCTCCCCACTCCTGCTCTCCTCCTCCTGTCCCTCAAATGAAAGATTTTGCTTGTTGAACAGGGCTGTGAGGTCTTCAGAAGATCAGGACCTACACCATGCAGATGCAGTACACTGACCTCAAGCATCTTCCAGCAACACCTGGCTAGGTGCTGACAGCCTGCCTACACCGGTTCTTCTTTGATACAGGTACAAGTGGAGCCCTTTTGGTAGTTCCTCCTTCACAACTGTGAAGGAAGAGAATAGTTTCATTTTTCTTGGTCCCTGATTACATGCAAAGATGCTACTCAAACTGAAACGAGCCAACTTTGCTATTAATGAATGAAGCACCTGTAAAGAGCATGAGTACATGACAAGTAAGTTCCAAGGCAGAACTCAATCACTGCACTGCAGTACTGACTTGCAGCACTTCTGGAGACTCTCCAAAATGCACATTCATTGTGGAATTTCAACAAAGACTGAACAGGAACCCGGAAGCTCTAATTTGTGACTTGAATCAGTTATAAACATTTAAATATTCTAAATGCTAAAATAAAGATCTACGCCGCTTTAACAATGCTTTATTTGATATCCCATGCTATCAGAAAACATGTTGTTTAAACCAAAAAAGGATCCATGGAAAACCTGAAGAGCCCAACACCCTAACACCGGCAAGTTAGTTGTTCCATGAAAAAGTGAACTTCCCCTTGCTTGGAAGCAACTGCTACACAATCACGTATCGAATGCTTTGTGCAATACCTGACACATTGTGCTTTGACTCAGTAAATACCTGTGGCATTTGCTGTCCGCCCAAAGGAATGGAGCTTGGCGGTGTAGCAGACACTGCGGTGGTAGGCGGGAACCGTGGTCTTATTTGCATCCCACCTCGGGCCATAGGTGCGGTGATCATCTTTGAGGACAGAGGGACAACAGACAAAAGTAATCGCAAAACAAGAAATGCAGTGCACTGGCAGGATGAGAAGCACATGCAACCTCCAGGAATTAGGGGAGAGGGGAGCATGAAGGGAAGGTTAGTGAGCTTTTCTCTAAAGGTTAACCTAACATGCTAGCTTATAAATCAAACTCCTTTTTACACCTTTTCTATCTATTTTTAGAAAGCATCCAACAAATTCTAGATATCTCGATGGTGCTGATAGGTAGATTCAGATTTGTAGGTCAAAGACTGACAAAGCTATTATTTGCAGGAGGGGTTTTTCCTAATTTTGCCTGACATCTTGAATTTCTAGAATTCTTAGAGGTAAGTTCTCCAAGACAGCTGTCAAGAATTCTCCATATAAGAAGCTTCTTTGTCTCTATAATGCCATAGGTTTCTGATGCACCTTCCCACACTGTTGGACTCACAGGATTTAGGAGTATTTGCATATGCCACCTTCCATTCTAAAAGACTCCAGCAGACAGTTCAGCAGCAACTGCTACCAGCAATGCTCCAGTGAGCTGTCCAACAGCGAGCAAAATTTCAGAGTAACCTATGACACTATAACACCAGGACAACAAAAAGGACTTATTTTTGAAAAAGCTATTTCCTTCCTTTTGCACCCCACAGAATAAGTCAATTATTTCCCTGTAATTTCTGTAATTTTGACAAACACCCATTCCTCTATTGCTAAGCTACACTAAGACTTGTTGCTATGAGCCCGTAATCTGCTTCGAGCTCATTCTTGCATTATTTGATTCTTCAGTTGTATAGACTGAGCACACCCTAAAAGTATAATCATTTAGAACAAATACTGCAGGTTAAATTTTGAATTAGAAATTACTCTAAAATAGTATTAGGATGTTGCTCTGCAGTGTCTAGAAGTGCCTTTCAGACCCATCAACCCGAATGAGTCACACAGTTTTAATCATATGTATCTATAATATCTATGAATTTTAAGTAATGGTAGACTTTAATGTTATACCACATATGCTGTCAATTAGAGTACAATTTAAATTTATGGGAAATACAGCATATTTTTGAGGTAGCACTCAGCTAACTTTGCTAATTCACTTATCAGCAAAAGAGCTTCCGTTTGATATTTTAAAGATCTACAGTAAAGGTCTCTGGACCACTTTATTATTTTTTTCCCCCAGAGTATACATCACCAAGGAACCTACACAGGCTCTAACTAACCTAGGAGTTAAAAGAAGTCTCCTTTCAGTAAAGGATTTGGGGCATTCTTGCTTAGTGTTCTGTGCAAATGGACTGAAGCAGCCAGCAACATGTCTCTAGAGAGTCAGAGAATGCATGTGCTTACAATTGTTAAAAATAAATAAAATTAAATACAACATAGCAAGACTGAAAACAGAAAGCAGTAACTGATAAAGAAAATAAGTGTCAAATTCAGCACAACTGTTAGTTCACAACATCAGAGCAATGCGGTCACTTTCCATCCAGGCAAAGAGGGATGGTCAGAGACAGGATTTCAAAAGGAAAACAAATGAGAGCGCTTCAGACATCACACACACATGCACATGTACACACACAGCATGCAACAGCCACCACAAGCAAACACAACAACCCAGCACTGCACAAAGCACAGGTGGATGCTACGAAGTGCAGTGAAGAGCTACTTTATCAACATGAGAGCTGGTGAAGCAACACAACCCTAACAAAACAAAAAAAAAGGAAATTGCTGGCAAAAATAAAATAAAATAAAACAAAACCTTCCAGGCACAATCACCCCATCTCAGACCCTCGTGAATGCACATGGATCTCTGGAGCGTGTGAAATCCCAGGGATGTTACGGTGACTCACATGTCCCATCTTGGTCCCGTTTTTCATGCCACACCACCAAAGTGTGCAGATTTAGATCACTTCCTCCAAGGCCATGGAAATTAGAAGTATATTAACTGTCTGGCAAACCACTGAACACCAGTGGGACAACTCCGATTCAAAGGCTTTCAGCTGTTGTATCATAGCCGAATGAATGTGTGCACATGCACATAATTCTGAGTTTTATTCACATATTTTTGAAACATGTGCTTTGGAAAGGAAGTGTATATATAAAATGACACCAATTCCACTCTCTTGATGAAAGTAATTTATTTTTCCCTTCTTCCAGCCTATTTACATTTATGAAACCAGTCACCCTTCAAGAAAGCAGCAGGGAAAGCGGATTTCAAAGATTGCATCTGTTTTATGCAAAGCAATGCATCTACAAAGGAGTTCATCAGATAGTCTAAAAATGGAAGACAGCTAGAAGTGTTCAGGTACTTTTGAGAAACATTTAAACTGAAGGCAAATCCTTCTCCACAGCTGAAATTGAGAAATCGATTTACAGAATTGAGAATTTTACTCAAAAAAAAAAAAAAAAAAAAGAGAGAGCAATCAGAAGAATGGAGTATCTCTCCACTGTAAGATACAGACCTCATTATCTGATTAAAAAATGAAGAGCAATGTAACTATTAGAATCCTGAACCAGTAATTTTCTTGCATCTAAAATCCAAGGATTCAGAATTCCTTCAATATGCAGCTTCTGGTAGGAATATACACGTACCATGACACTACCACTCCACTAAAGGCAGGCCAGCTCTGCTTTTCAAAGAGCAACAGCCAATTTGCATTCTGAGCACCTGAACGAATTGCAGCAGAACAGTAATTTAAACATTATTAATACTTAACTCCAGTTGATTACAGAGTTTTCTCCTGGTGCTCCAAGCACTTCTGTAGCACTCTGTGTCACTAGGACACTATTTTGCTTATTTATCAGTTTCACCTGTGAGTTACATAGTTGTAAGGACTAGACATCCAAGCAGGATAACGTTCACCTGTGTCTTTATGCCTTCAGAGAACTCCAAAACTTACATGTATCCATGTTTGAATTTAGGATTGGTTTTACTTTTATGTAGGAATGCTGAACAGAAACTTTATGGAAAAGGAAAAAACACAGGCACATCAACCCAAATTCCCAGACTGAAAGCCCCTAGAGACCAAGCTTAAGTTTAACAAGCAAGTATTAGGACAGGGTTTGTTGATAACAAAAGCTTCCCAAAACCAAATAAGGAAATCAAGACAGATTTATTAAAATAAAATCTAGTGCCAGTGGAAAATGGACTAAATGCAAAGAGAAATCTACTCTCAAGCTTCTTATAAATCAAAGCAAATGTAACCATGTTCTCAACGCCAAAGCTGCATTGTAATATTGTACACAACCATGAGCTATACATTATATACAGAAAATTGTTATACAAGTATAAGAAACCAGTTTAATCATTGGACTTCACAGCGTCTAGTGAATTTTAGTAGATTTACATTGTAACAGCACAAACGTAAATGTAAGTCTGGCTGTGTAGTTTTCTAAACTCCATATGCAATAGATAATGAGCAATCCCTGCTTGTTATAAATAAAGTTGCAATGCAAAACCAGCTGTCAACCATCTTATTACCCAAAACTTTTCAAATGCACTGTGCTGTTAAGCCACTGGCATATAAATTCCCTAAATTGGACAAGAATTAAGGTGACTATGTAAACAAAATCCATCTGTTTAGAGGTTGGAAAGAGCACCATTACCATTAAGTTAGTAAAAAGAAAAAAAAAAGAAGTCAGTCTCCTTTTAGGCAGCCTAAGTCCCTGTAGCTTTCACCTGGAAATTATTTAAGAAATAAAGAAAAGCTTTAATTTGCATTTCAACTGTAGAAGAATTCCATATTACTGCCAGCACTGTACCAACTGTACTTACCACTCCTCAGCTTTTACATCCTATGTTACATTGGCTCAAGCAAAAGGACCAGAAACAGAACATAGCCACCACCAAGTATGTGGGCCACATGAGAGTTAATATGGTGCAAGACACTATTCCTGATAGCGGTCTGTGAGATGAATGTTGAAGAACCAATTGTTATCCCTCTGTCCATGCAAAAACTTCTAATGGTCTTACTGAATCTAAAGCATTTCTTGTGTGATGAAGGGGAAATGGTGCAACACCTGAAATGGCGCAACACCTGAAATGGCAGAGATCTTTTTGTATTGCCAGACATTAATCCTGGTCAACCTCTTTTTATCTATCTGCCTCAGTCTCTCCATACACAAAGTGGTGATAATTGTACTTACCGTGTCTGTAAAATGTCTCAGCATGAAAGACTACAGAGGCAAACCATGAAAGACTATTTCATATTCTTGTGGAAAATGGGATGAGAGGTTCAGCTCAAGCCATCCCCAATTTTTCTCCCCCGTGTCTCCTTCACACCAGACACACATCAAGGAACAATCACTAGGGCTACAGCTGTATTGCAGGTTAAGAACAGTGTATTAGACAATAAGCTTTCAACCAGCCTTTTTTTTTTTTAAATGTAACTCTGCACTTGTGACACATGCCATTTTTTCTTGACAATTCACATCCAGAACAAGAGCATTCTAAATCTACAGCTCATTTCACTCAGAAAAAGAATGAAAGATGAAAGGAATGAAAGGGGAATACTGAGAGATTTGACTATCTATATTGCTTTTTATGCTTGGTACATGGAGATGGAAGGTAGATCACATGGGAGTTAAGATAGCAGGCAAAGATTCACAGCATGGAAATCAGTTGACAACAAAGCAGTCACCTAGGAAAGTGTAACGAAAAGAGAGGCAATACACTCCAGGAACCAACAGTCAAACTTGCAGTGTGACCACACAAGGCCCTCTTACTGTTGTGCATTTGTGTATCACTTCAGGCAACAATCTTACCTACTCAGGACAGAGAGCATGCACAAAGAGGTTGTCCATGAAATCCTGCCTCTGAGTCCGGGCAAAGGGGAAGCAGCATAAAAGCCCACATCCCCTCTGTATAGCGATGACTGCTCAGACCTCATCAGAAAGCCACCAGAGACCCATTTCCATGCTTGCCTTTAGCATGCACTTGCTACAGGCCCGTACCTAAGGACACTGCCTCCAGGGTTCTTACCTGCCCTGAAGCTCCCATCTGAGCAGCTTGAGCCTGAGCTGCTTGCACTGCTGCTGCCGCCTGCTGCTGCTGCTGCTGGACCAGCTGAGCTCTTACCTTGAGTATAAAAAGAACAAAGTAAACACGTGTACCTGATCAGTGTGTAACATTTCTCTTTCAGTTGCTTTGACTATACTCATAAAAAGGGGGAGTTTTGGAGACAAGACTATAAGATCAGCTTCACTTATCCATCTCTAGAAGCGTTTCATGAACTTTCCTTATGAAAGCAAGTTCCCATGCTTCTAACATTCGGAAGTCTTCTCACAGACTGTGCACTCAAGACGTGACTTCCTGCAACTTCTCTGTAGTGTAAGGTCTTCTTATGACAATACTAAATATTTCATCTTTCTGGCAAACAGTTAACTACATGTGATGATTCCTCTCAAGCATAATATTTTAAACATATATTAATGACCAGCATTTCAAATGTCTATGCACTCATTAGGACAAGTCAGAGGGATGTACGTGACATTTAACTATTAGCTTAACTGGTAGAAGCACATAGTGGGTACTCCATCTATTCCATGGGGGGGTCAAGAATTTCTCAAGAGTGGCTGACACTTCACTACGCCCCAGCAACACTCAGAGAAAAGCAGGCTTCAGAATGACATCTGAGCTTTTTGCTCAACAGCACACAGCACTCATGACTAATGCGGCAGTTTGAAAAGCTGCAACATTAACAGGATGACTCAGATTCTAAGATGAAGCAGTAAGATGTTCACAGTAAAACCATCATCTTGTCCACATTCTCTTCAAGTCAGGAACTACTAGTATCTCAAATTTTGTCCAAAACTTCTAAACGTGGCAGCAGAAGCAAAGCCAGTGTGCTGAAGAGCCAATACTGGCTCCAGCCACATGCACTAGGTGCCTCAAAGCACTTGCTAATATTCAAGAACAAAAATAATCAAGGCAGTGATTTTTTTTAGATTCATAAATGGTTTTCACACATTTATAGAATCGCTGATCTTCGCTGATACTAAGTCATTCTCTTCTGACAGGTCCAGACATAAAGCTTTAAAACCACCATACTCAAACAACCTAACTACAGATCTCTTAAAAAACTATGCTTTTTTCTCATTTTGTTATTAGCAAAAGTCAAGGAAACTTTTTATTTCTTTAGAGGATCATAATGAACCAACAATGAAATGGTCACCAGCCCTTACCTGCATTGCTTTTAATTGCTGTGGTGTGAGAGTAACAGGCATAACCTGACCAGGAATTTGTCCCGAGATTGCCTGTGCCTGAGATACCATGGGCTGGGGTTGAGGCTGGGATTGTGGTGGAAGCTGAGACTGTTGTGCCTGAGCAACCTGCTGCTGCTGCTGTTGCTGCTGCTGCTGCTGTTGTTGCTGCTGCTGCATCTGTTGCATCTGCTGTTGCATTACTTGTTGAGGTGGCTGCTGCTGTAGCTGCTGCTGCGGGATTTGTTGCTGTTGTTGCTGCTGCTGCTGTTGTGCCTGCATAGCCTGTGCTGCCTGCAGCTGCTGCATTTGGGCAATTCGCTGTAGTTGCTGTTGCTGCTGTTGCTGTTGCATCTGAAAAGCAGGAAAAGCCAGGATGCTAAAGCTTCCAGCAGTGCAATGGTAGCCTTATTTTTATAGCGTAGATGAAAAGCAAACTGAATCCTGATATATCAGGCTGAGTTTTCAAGCCTGTATAGAAAGCCCAGACCTCTTATTAACTCACTCTCCAGATATCTCAACTCTATGTAGTGCATGTCCTGTGGTTTCACTATTCCAAGCTTTTCTCACTATACTAAAATAGTTTTCAAAAGCAAAGATAAGTCCATCACTTTTTCCTTTACAAATGGGCTCAAAATCACTTCTTAAATGTAATCAGCCTGCATCAGCACTGCCATTTACCAGAAATGCACAAGAGCATGACAGCTGAGGTTTCCTCTTCTGCTCTTGTGCCTAAGGATGATACATGTAAGTGCTCAGTACACATTTTTTTAAAGTAGCGATCTGTAATTCACACAATGACAAAATAACCACTATTTCTAGAATAATACAGTGCTTTTAATACAGTGCTTTTAGTTCTTTACCACACCCCTGTTCTTGTCAGAATGAAACAATGTCCTGATGTTTATAAAGAGAAAGAGACAGAGGTTTTTAGTTCTCTATTATGGCAGAAGAAAGCAACCAAAAACCCTCACTGTTAAACCTTCCTTCTGGGTTGTAATGTAATGTTGCCAGTCTAAACTGAAGTCCTATCCCAAAATGTATTAATAATGGGAAGAGCTGATACTCAGTACTTCCATGCAAGCTAAATTTCACTTGACAAGTAACTGATCACAGATCACCCCGATTGCCATTGTAATTCTTGTCTGTCATCACCTGCTGTTGGTTTTGCTGCTGCTGCATCTGCAGTTTCAACATATGCTGCTGCTGCTGCTGGACGGCTTGTAACTGCTGCTGTTGCTGCTGCTGCTGTTGGGCTGCTGCAGCTGCTGCTGCCTGCTGCTGCTGGACCTGAAATTGTTGTTGCATGGCTGACTGCTGGGCCTGGAACTGCTGCTGCTGCAAAGCCACCTGTTGCTGCTGGAATTGCTGCTGCTGCTGCTGTTGCTGCTGTGCTATCTGCTGAAGCTGAAGTTGGGCTAAAAAGAAGGGAGGCTATGCTTAACACACGAAAGCCAAACAGTACCAGAGACCGTTACACAGTATAACTCCACAGTAATCAAAGATAATCGCTAAAGTATAAGATACTCATGGCTTACAGCATATACTTTTGCATCCTCAAACGGAGTAAGTACATTAACAGCAGAATTGATGACACTGCCTACTATCTCTACAGTCCCCTGCCTACATTTAGTCAGCAACTGAATTAAAAGTGTAAAAATGTGCAGAAATTGTATGGCTCTGTGGCCACCTGGAAGGACCACAACAGGATCACACCTTAGTCTCCACAGAATTCTCTAAGAAATAGAAGCTACTGAAGAAAACATATGCAGAGAGGCCACCAGCAGGAAGAATAACAGCCATAGAAAGTATACGTGGGTTTCACAGAACAAAGTTCTGAAGTTGACATCTTTGAGGATGGGAGAAGCATTTGCTCATAGAAGAGAGGCTGTTCCTCTCTATGCTAAGGACAACATTTATCCCAGTAAGTAGCAGTGTCTGAAATGAACTCTTCCAACAGTTCCCTTGGCTGATTTAGCCAGCAGTATGAAATTCTTTCAGTAACCTCTCCTTGTGGAAAAGAGCTATTTACTGAAAGACTGATCCAACAGTTTCAGTGGTTGAAACAAACCAAACACTTACTCTGCTGAGTAGCTGTAGAGACACCAGGCATACCATGAGGGGCCATTCCCGAGGTCCCAGGAGGCTGCTGCTGCCCTGGGAGACTCATCTGTTGTCCCATTGGGCCAAGGCCACCCATCCCAGCCATTGGTGCTCCTTGAGCTCGGGAAGCCATGCCCATTCCAGGTGCTCCTGCTGGGGGACCCCCAGTCAGATTCTGCAAGGCATTCATGGGATCTATAAAGAAAACAGTTAACATTATGCAGCCAGCCATGCAATTGCCTCCCCCAAATCCTCTGCTTTCCAGAATCCACTCTCTGATCTGCTGGCTTCAGACCACAACTAGATGCAAACCCTGAGAACCTACTGCTCACTGCTCTGCCTGCAAGACCACAAGAAGCTTCTGGCAGGTCTTTGCCTCTCTGTAAACAGGGTGAAGACTGTTTAAAGTGCTTCAGATCTGCAAATAGATTCTAAATATATCAGACAAAAGGAACTCATTAGCTGCCTCTGAATTTACATGCAAGTCTAAACAGGCTACCAACAAAACTCCATGCGGCTGTACCACCTGTAACCTCAAAAAAAGCATATGAAGAACAGAGCTCCCACTGCGGATTCTATTGGCCTCTTCCTCCAGAGGAGGAGCAGTGCTCAAACCAGAGGAAGTCCTTTGCAATGCAGTTCCCCCAAGTTCCCACCATAACATCATGTTTTTACACAGAGGATAAACTTTGTCTTTCAAGAGAATTGTCACAGTCTCAATCCTGGGCATGTAGAAAAGTGAAGTCAAAGAAGGAAAGGCAACTCAGAAGGGCAAAACAGAACACAGGGTGCAGATGCAGTATTAATTAGGTACAGAATACAACACTTCCTTAGGAATACATATCAGTTTTTAACTGTCTAGGTGAGGTGTTAATCAACCACAACCACTGCATAGTTAGCTTATGGGGGGATAAAAATGATGTATTCATTTTCATCATCATCACTAGGAACATCATATTACGTTCTTAATATAACTGCTGTAAGAATTAGCACAGAGACAGAATACATGATTGGATCTAACCAGAGTCAAGTAGCAGAGTAGAGCACACAGCCCACAGACACAATGTTTGCCTCTAATGGAGCACAGTAAAAAACCCAAAGTTGATGACAGGGAGAAACCTAGATGCCCAGCAGGAAGTTATTTTCAATCACTCTTGTTCTTCCAAGAATCTCAGTGTTGTGGGCTAAGAGAAGCACAAACAGGGAAACAAACAAGTCCCCTGTGCTGCATCCAAAACACCATCTAGGCCTGTCACCCTCAGAACTGAACAAATCACAAGGTTACTGTGCTACCTTTCCTTTCCTCCACCAATAGTAATATTGCAGCTAGGAAATCCACAGCCCTCTTAGTACACCACAGCCCTGTTTTTTGAGCTGTTCTAGTCAGAAAGGAAATAAATAAATACATAAATAAATAATAAAAAGGCCTCTTACCACTGACTGAGGCTTGAGATTTCTTATTGTCTGCAAAAGAACACCACATTAATTATCTTTGTTAATCTCATCACACAGATTTGACGTTTCGAATACACTCTCCAAGAAATATAGTCATATAATAATTTAAAAAATATAAAAGTCACTGTCTACTGTAGTTATGTCTCCAAACAATTTATCCAAACCCATAATTCCAGACAGCTGTATCATAGCTGTAACAAGCTGAGTGGAAAAAAAGGTATTTTTATCTTTGTAATTACATAAAACATTAAATAACCTAATTTTGTACTCAGAACACTACAAAAACACTGACAAGAAAACACAAATACATGAAAAAATAGGAAGGTGTAGAATTAGTAACATTAAATTATTTCTTACTCAAAGACTCTTCAATTGTAGATGGATGTTATAAAAGAAACAATATTTAGAAGTTAAGCATATATACTACTGGTTAAAGTTTTGGAGCAACTTGTGAGGAGTCCCATGCAGACCCACACATACAAGCCAGAAGATTTTCTTTTATTCCCCCTCCGCCCCCGATGAGCAGTCACTGGGATTAAAATTACTTACGGATATCTCGAAAATGGATAATAAGCCTGGCCACAAGAGAAAGATACTCCTCCTAAATGTTAAAAAAAAAAAAAGTGTATCAGCGCAGGAAATAAAAACAGAGCAACCACGACTTTCTGGTCCTTCAGTATTCTTCCTCAGTGTACCAGATTTTACTTTACTTTGACAGCTTTTAGTTCACTTACAAGGACCAGTCTGTTCACAAACTAAGTGGAAATGCTTTTTACCAGAAGGTCAGTGTGGCTGATGGTCCAAGTAGCCCAGAAGTCCATAAAATTCACTGGAAAGAAGTTCTGTGACAGTCACAATAGCAGGAACATAATGTGTATACCTAGTTATATACTAATATATCCATTTTCCTTTTCTCACCCATTCTAGTTCTTTCCTTAAGGATCAAAATTTCTTATTGGGTACATTGACTCACTTCAGTCCTTAAACTAGGTCATATTCATACTACAAGAACTTTTTTATGCTAAGTTATTATTATTAAAGATATTAACTTAATTGTTTTTAAGACTTATACGTGGCAGAAGTGCCAGAGGTGAAAGGACAAACAGTCTTTGCTGCAATTTATTAATGTGCTTCATAATGCACAAGAGAGTCTGCCACAGTGCTGAGACAGCCTCCCTGCTCCTTTAAGTACCCACTCACCAGTGAGAATGCCATCAGCAGGCATAAATAAGCGTTATAAAAACTTTCACCAAGTTCTATCTCAAACATGTCTTCTTTGTAGACAGCAATAGGATCCAATTTCTTATAACACAGCCCCAGGAAAGAAGAGCTTATACATTTGGGTAGCGCCTAGAATTGTACACAAAAACCAGACTTTTACAGAGACCCAAGAAATTCCTTTTTTCCTTACTCCCAAGACAGCTTTTTTATCAATATCTCAGTCTCTCCTGATCACCAAACTGGTTAGATGGAATAATGCCACACTGTAGATAAAACAAACTCCATGCAATTCACTACACACAAGTCTTTAGATAAGACTTAATTAAGCACAGAACCACGCATGCATTAAATGCTGCAGTATCAGCAAAGCTCTCTTGGCCTGAAGTCCAGTCTGCTGCATGTATTGGACACCAAACACTTCATTTCCCCTCAGGGTAAAAGGAACACACACACATCCAGATACTTAACCCTTGTTTTAGCCTTCATAAACACGTGGCTCTCCATCTCTTTGCTGGACTTATTATGGGCAACACCAGCCTTCCTCATAGCTTCATCACTGAAAAAGAAAAAAACAATGCTGGCATTAACTGAGGACATCTGAAAATACTTTCTGTAGTTAGAAACGTCTGTGTAACAGCTTTTTACCCCTCTCTTATTGTTAAATCCATGTATAGATTAAAAAAACAAAAATGGCATTACTTAAAATTGCTGCTCTTTAAAACTTATTCAAATAACTGAGGAAAAAAGTCATTTTTTGTTGCCTTTTAGAAATTAGTTCTTTGCAGATATTCAAGAATAGCAGCTAAGCAAGTCACTATTTGCTGCTTGAAGTGTTAGTTTGACAAAATACTAGGACCTGTTGATGAATCCAGTCATTCAGCTTTCCTCTAATGTAATCCATGTCCAGTGAACTACGGGTTTGAGCCTGCATAGTACCAGGCATTTCCAAAAGAATCCTCTAAACAGAAGGCAGAATAATAAAAATTGCTTGGTAAAACATCAAACGCCTTTAGGCAATGAGCAGTAGATAAGAAGAAGGTCCTGCTGATGGACAGTTGGTAATAAAAGCCTTTTTTTTTTTTTTTACCCCTTTACTGTTCTTTTCTATTTATCAATCAGAAGTGCAGGGCCATCACACCACTAGTAAACTGGAACTAGATCTGCCCTCTGGATGAGAAATTGAAAGCACGAGAAAGAAAAGGAAATAAACTACCCACACCAAAACACTCTGCTAAAGAAATTGATAGGAAAGAAGGAGTGTTCACAGACTCAGAACAGTCTGGGACCTTAAAGACCATCTAGTTACAACCTGTGCCATGGGCACGCTGCCTCCCCCCACACCGGGTGTCCCAAAGGCCCGTCCAGCCTGGCCTTGAGCACTGCCAGAGATGGGGTGGCCACAGCTTCTCTGGGCAGCCTGTGGCAGTGCCTCACCACCCTCGGAGTGAAGAATTTCTTCCTTATACCTAACCTAAACCTCCCCTTTTTTAGTTTAAAGCCATTACTCCTGTACTGTAACCACACCCCCTGACACAGAGTCCCTCCCCAGCTTTCCTGTAGCCCCCCTGAGGTACTAGAAAGATGCTGTGGGGTCTGCTTTTGGTGCAGCCCAGAGTACGGGTGGCTTTCTGGGTTACAAGCATGTATCACCAGCTCATGTCGAGCTTCTCATCAAGCAATGCCCCCAGGTCCCTCTCCTCAGGGCAGCTCTCATTCCGTTCTCCACCCAGCCTGGATTTGTGCTTGGGATTGCCCCAGCCCAGGTGCAGGACCTTGCACTTGGCCTTGTTGAACTCCAGGAGGCTCAGGCCCAGCTCTCCAGCCTGCCCAGTCCCTCTCCTGCCTGGCATCCCTTCCCTCCAGCACATCAAAAACCAAGCAATTCCACTGCAACATAAGCACTGAGACAAAAAACATCTTAAATCAAGGACTCAGACAGGAGAGCAGCCCTATTCAAATCTGCTGGGCATTCTCATTCTTGGAAACATTTCACTTCACTGCAAAACCTGTTCTGTGTTACAGCCTAGTAGCTGCAGCCTGCATTCCACAAGCAAGTTACCAGGAAATACTTTCACCTTGTAATTACCATCTCAGCAACCCATTTCTCTGCTGTTGAATGAGCAACTACCCTACCCGAAATGCATCTTAGGGTGGGGATCCTTGGAAGCTTCATGCAGCCTGAAGTGGGACTGCTGCTTTTTGCCCCCTCGAGTTCTGACCACCTCCCTTGCAAGCAGGAGTGGTGCTTGTGTGAGCAGTGAGCTAGTCCAGTGTCCTGAAATAACTCAGCATCCCCCTCAAGACAGGCATGAAGAGCAGAAACAACAGACTTAGGTGAAGGAGCTGAAGCTGTCCAAACTCATACCTTTACCGTGCAAAGTCGTAGCCTAGTAGCATGTAACTTACCTGGTGTAACTTGCAAAGAAATAGGGAGCAGAGCACAGCCACCTGCATGTGTCCCTCACGGTAACCTGCTCACGTGGCCTGACGGACACTACAAATGCTGGTTACACAGGAAGGTTACTTAAATGAAGCCAAATTCAAATATAACACAGAGTAACTACTCTTTCATGTGTAAGCAAGCCTTAAAGTGAGCTCCTCATAAAAGAAGTCTGCTGCAGAAGAAGCAGAGCATCCAGTCCTTCACCTCCCTCTTTCCAACACTTTCTCTTTCAGAAAAGCTGCCTCTAAACCCACGCTACTCTCTCTGAATCTTCCTCACCGCCTTAGTCCCACAGTGAATGACAATGCCTCTCATTTCAAGGCCACCAAGAACTGAGCAGGCAGAAAGACCAGTGACACAGACCCAAATAAAGGATGTAACGTGCAGCTAGTACTAGAGTGGCTGATACAGAGACTGCGATCCATGGCGTAGCAGGAAGTTTGGAAAAAAACACAGCAAATTATTTATTCTGTGTAGCCACCATTTCTTTTTGATGTTGCCTAGCACTCCATGCCAGATCTCTTCGTATTCCACAAGTTCAGCTGTGTGTGGTTTCTTCCGCCTCGTCCGTTTCTTTCTCCCCACATTTAACTTCAACCAGCACAAAAACAACTAAGTTAAAAGGCTGGGAAAGTCACTAGAAAAAGACAGCTTTCCACTGAGTCAAGTGTACCAAATAAGGTATCATATCCTTCCAGAAATGAAATCCAACACAACTTTGAAAACCAGATGTTCCAGCCAATACAGCCTTCATCTGCCTCACAAGCACTTACTAAGCATGTAAGATGTGCACTAAAGCTCTGCCTTTTTCAGCTCCTCCACAACACTCAAAAACTGATGCCATGAAGCATTTGGCACCACTGCCAGCTTCAGGAATTCCCCCTCCCTTTCCAAGAAGTTCGTTTCCAGCCCTACAACTGCAACCTCTCACTCAGGCCAACTGGTCTAGCAGAAAAATCTTGCAAAACACGTTCTCCTTCACCACTCCACCAGCTCTCCTCTCCTTCACACCACAAACTGCACCAGGACTTCCAGTGAGACGAAAGGGCAATGAGCTCTAGGACCAACCCCACGTTAACACCACCAGACGCTGCCTCATGAAACAGACTGGTCACTCAAAATAAATCTTTCTTGCTTAAAACGGGAAGAAAAATAAAAGCGTGCTGACGGGCCGTTAACCACAGCCATCCACATCACAAGCTTAAAAAACCTCCAGGTAAACCCCAGCAAATACATTAAACGTTAATTACTTGATCTTGGGTACAGGACAGCGCCCCACACAATGTTTCTGTTAGCTCCAGGTTGGACACAGCACATTTAATGACAACCCTCACTGCAAGAACACCCAGATCAGGAGTCCCCAGATACCTAGGACCAGCCTCAGCCCCACATAACACCGCCTTCAGCCACAGAGGAGAAGGCGAAGGACAATCCAACCTCTGCAAGGCCTTCTCTTTGTAAAGCCTTCTCTTTTTTAACGTAAGGCATTGTCTTTCTTTCCAGTTCTGCAGTGAGGAAAATCACCGTCCTGCTACACAGAACCACCCCCTCAGAGCTTCAAAGGCACAGAAAATCCTCCCACAGGAGTGATTCCTTCAGAAGCCTCCCCGCCAGGTTACGCCAGTGCCACTGTTTGTGTGGCTGCGCAACCAGCAGGGCCGAAGCACTACCCAGCTTCAGAATAAACACTTCTCCTCGGTTATTTTTAACTTCAACAAATTTCTCCTTCAGGTTCACTGCATGGCAACCCAAACACTTGCACTACAGAGGCAGAAGCTTCTTAGTTCACAGTTTTATAAATGCTTATTTTGACGCAACCAACTCCTCCCTTTCTGTAGTACCAGGACAGGAGGCACAGCCGTCTTCTTGGCCCTTTTTTTTTTTCCCTGAAATCCCATCAGACAGCCCAGGCTGGCATATAAAAATAAGGCTGCTTTATGAACGGATTTTGTGACATATTTCACAGAGAGCAGCAATGCAAATGATCTCCCCCCCACACACACACACACGAGAAATTGTAGCTGCTCTGCTCGCCTCCTGCCTGCTCGTTTCTGCTCCCACCTCTGCCTCCTTTCCCGTGCTCTCCACCTCCCCATCCTTACTTATGCTCACGCATGCTCTTTCCTCTCATCTAACTGAACCATTAGCTAAAATCTACTTGATTTTAAGTGTGAAGGTATGCATGAAAACCAGGCAGAAAGCTGAACACCACTTTTATTGACCATCATGCAGCTGAAGTTACCCCGTTTGACACAATTCCCCTTACCCCAGGCTAGAAGCAGCTCGGCACAGGAACTGCACGGCAAGGCTCTGAGGTTACCACCACGCAACCCACCTCAGCTTTGTCCTTCAGGCAATACCAACGTTTAAAAGCGTATTAAGGAAAGGCATTTAGAGAGAGGCTCCCAAGGCACTGGTAGGTGCCTGTTCGCTGTAAGGGCTGGAATAAAAAGGTGCCTTGAAAGCACAAACATTCACACTCCTGCATCGTTGCTCTCTTGGAACAACGTGGCAGGAACCAAAGCTGCTCCCTGGCCTCCGTCAGCTGAGCTCTGGCAGTCCTGGGTCTCACAGCTGTGGGAGTCCTGCTGGGCTTGCAGTCAGACAGGGACCCAGCGCTGAGCGGGGCTTCCCAGGGGAATCATTTCCTAGCGAGATCACCTCTCACACAGTGCTCCAACTACACACAGACACGTTCACTAAGATACCTACTGCACATGGTATCCCTGAAGTATTTAGCCAGATAATGTCACTATGGGAAAATAAATAAATAAATATCTTGACATCCACGGACCTATCTATTATAAACTCTGCTCCTGGCTAGCCTTCATTTACTTCAAGTGCCAGCATGAAACCAAGTCATCTGCTGATATCTAGTACAAGTTAATACATTTAAAAAAAAATCCACTGTAGTCATTGCACAGTTATCCCAGTACCAAGTATGCTTGCTCTTTAAATAAGACAGGGAATGGAAACATCTGTAGGATACTACACAGCAGGATGGTGTGCAAAGAAGACACATCACTCAGGGAACACAATCCTGGGGGAGGAGGGAGGGAAGACTGCCAACACATTGATAACAAAAAGCACACAGATAAAAAATACATCTGTGCGCATGTGCAAGACTAAACAGAGGAAATTTTAATTCTTTCTTGCAGGAATTAAAAGTGTAAGACAGTCGACATCTCTTCATGTGCCATCAACCTTTAAAAACCTAACTGCTATTGACCTATTCAATCTTTATCTCTTACTATCAGCTTCCCCCTGAAACATTTGTCATTTTTAGTGCTCACAGAAAGACAGTGACTGCTTGCAGAGCAAACACACAAACAAGAGGTTACTGCACTGAGCTTTGTTTCAGCTGACTCAGGTTTACTTCCCCGGAGTTGCACAGCATCAGAGAGTAGTTTGGGGGGTTTTGCTTTGATGAAGAAGTAAAAAAGGAGAGGAAAATGCAACAGATTCATCTGACAATAGATGCTGCAGAGAGTTTAGACAGGAAAACATCAGCTCTGATGACAAAGAAACTCGCACAGCTTTGACAAGCACTCACTGTCCGATTTCTTTCGTGAACACTGCAATATTTTAATTCTGAGACATCACCACAAGGAAAGCCCAGAGCTAGGCACTAAAACCGTGTGCAAACAGCATATTCTTCACATATCACAAAAAAACAGTCTGTTGCTTATGAGAATCGGTATTTAAAGCAAAGCATAATCAAGCTTTTCAAGCGCACAGAAATAAGGATTTTAACATTGCTGTAGAAGCACCAAGCAGTGCTTTCAGCACTACAGTGAGCACCCTCTGCAGGGTAAGAGCCTCCCCGTGACAAAAAGAGCACGGAGAGCGGCAAAGGGACCCGAGCAAAGGGATCTTGTCACAGAGGACGACCGAGGAGGCAACAAGCCCAACTTTCTTCTAAACAACCTTGCCGCGATCACGCAGACACCGAGTGCGATCGCTGCTCCAGACCTAGGAAAGCACAACAGGTAACCGATTCAGCCTCTGACACTGATTTCGCTGTCAGAGCCAGACAGAAGCCTATAACGAGGTTTGCACAGAACCGAACGCGGCAGCCCTGCGGGCCCTGCCGGAGCAGAACCCAACACCGGCGGCTGCGGGGCAGGCCGGGGGACCGCTACCAGGGGCAGGGGGAGCCGGGAGGGCCGGGCCGGGCTAGGGGGGAACCCCGGTCCCCTCGTCCTGCCGGCGGCCGCCCCGCACTCACATCTGGCTGACGAGCTTCTGGCGGAAGTTGGTGCTGCGCCAGTCGGTCTCGGGCCCGGTCACGTCCATCCCCGCCGCCCCTCAGCCGCCGCCGCTCCGCCACACGCCACGCCCGGAAGCGGCTCTCCCGCCTCGACTTCCGGCGCGCTGAGGGCCGTGAGGAAACAAAGTCCCGGCGGCGGTCTCGCGAGAGCTGCCCGCCGCACGGCACGCTGGGATTTGTAGTCCCGCCGCACGCCCCCTCTCCGCGGGAACGGCCCCGGCAGCCCCGGCTGCGGCTCCCCCCGCCCGGCCCGGCCCCAGCCGCCGCCGCCGCCACCGCCCCTCCCTCGGCGGGCGGGCGGGGCCGCGCCGGGTTCCGGCGCGCGGAGGCGGAAGCCGCTGGCGGAGGCCGCCGTTGTCCCCCGGTAGGTGGCTGGGGGCGGGCGGGGGGGACGCGGGGGAGGCGGCACCGGGGGGAGGAGGGGGCGCGGAGGGGGCTGCGGGGAGCCCCCGGGGAGGCCGCGGTGGGAGCCCGGCTGCTGCCGGCCGGGGGAGGCCCCGCCGAGGTCACCCCCGGGGCCGGTGGGGGCCGGGGAAGCCGGGCAGGGGGTGAGCCCCCAGCTCCCCGCAGCGCCTCCTCCCCGTGCTGGGAGACCCCAGGGAGCTCCCCCCCCTCCCCTCCCCTCCCACCGAGCCCCCCGCTGAGTTCCCGGTATGACAACACCTCAGGTAGGGGGGAGAAGAGCCCAGGGCCCCCCAGGAACAGCTCACACGGCGAATAGTGCAAATTAGTTCCTTTTTGGGTTAATTTCCTAGGGAAAGCCGAGCTAGAACGTGTTGCAAGAGCCCTCTGCTCGCTCTGCCCCCAGTCACTTAATTGTTGCAGTTGGCACAGAATTACTTTTATTTCCCACCCCCCCCCCCCATCTCCATGTATTTTAGACAATTAAAAATTCACGATGTGGTTGAAGTAGCTCAAAGCAGCCCTGCCAATTAGCCAGGTCTCAAGATTGGCGGGACATGTACCATGGGGTAATTTATAGGCTCTCAGTTCTGGCATTGTTAGTACTTGTCTGATCCTATGGAAGCTTTATTTTATATATAAAGTGTCACTCTTCAATTTATGGAAAAGTTACATTTTGTTTTAGCAGCTTTTTCTGAGCGTTCTTGGGAAAATTAAAACAATTTGATCAAAAGCAAATATCCTTTACAGATTTGCCAGATCTCTCTGGACACAGAACTAAACATTGAGGACTGCACTTCCTGCCCAGCCTGCAGAACGCTGGAGCCTTAATGGGAAGCCTCTTGTTTTAAGGGTGGACAGGTACGTGCTGCCTGAATGTAGCTGGTTAACTCCTTCCTTCAGACACAAGCAGCAGCTCCATCCAAACCAGAACATTATTATTGAAACATTAAAGATGAGTGTATCCAGCAAATCTTGTTCTGAGATTAGTAACAAGAAAAAACTGGCAAGAGATCACCAAACTCTTAGGGATGACAAAGCCATAGGAGAAGGGATTTTAATGTTCCTTACTATTTCTCCTTCATAGCATTTGGGCCACAGGTCACCTCCCCATAATACATCACTTATCGGTCCCATGAATTTGAGTAAGTTGCAAGAAAGAATGAAGTTAACAATTAATGGATATGGCAAAACGTTGATGTTAGCAAGGTGATGCTCTTTAGGTCACACTGGGGGGCACCTCTTTTTACGTTTTATATAGAAATGGAGATGCATTTTGTGCAAGTTTTGCTATATCCATTTTAAATGAGATGTTTTATTTTCAGTGTGTCTTAGAAACACCTTGTAATAAGCTTGCAAAAAAACAAACAAACAGCTGTTTGGCAGTGTGGTTTGCAGAAGCTGTTTCCCAAGCCACGCCTTTAGGTATCCTCCCACACTTCAAGTGTACTACCAAGGCTAGAAACTGAAAATGACTCAAAGTCAGCTCAGAGGAATGTGCTTGCAAATTTCCATGCGTGACTTAAAGAGAGATGGTGTGTACAGACCTAGCAAAAGCATACCTGTGATCGCTGTGTGTTCAGAAGATGAGATGTTTTATGGTACCAGATGTCTTTGCTTCTTTCGTTCTATGGGGACCTCAGTCAAAAGCAATTGTTCAGGTTATTTCCCCAACTTGGGGAAGGTCTTAAGTGGAAAGGTATTTCAGGAAGTACATTTTTTTTTTTTTTGCAGTTTTGCATGCAGAGGGATAGTTCTGAAAGAAGCACTGCTACGCAAAGCTGCTGTTTTTCTTTCAGCCCTCCCCTTTTCCAATTGTCTTGAAAAAGCATGAAATTGGCTCGTCTTTTCTACACATAATGGCACACTCAATTGTCTTTGTAGTGAACAAACTTACAAGTGCCCATTACAAATTATATAATTGATGAATTATTCCAGTATTTGCACTCCAGTTAAACCGAACAATAGTTTTGCTTTTCAATTTACATTGTTTGTGGTATTACATCTGTCTTCTGAACTATTTTGGCAGGCACCCAGCTGCCTCCCCTCTCTGCACACTCCCTGACTAGCTGATTTATTTGTTTGTGTGCCCTCTGCCCTGTTAAAGTTCTGGTACCTCGCCAGGTTCTGCCTATTTACAGTTGCAATCCCCGACAGTCAGCATAACTAGTATTTTGCTCTAGTCTTGTATCTTGCCTTCTTGTCAGGCCATCAGCTTGGCTTAGATCCCAATTCTTCCTACTCCCTTGGGAGAGATGAAGGTGTGGGAAGCCTTAGGGAATGGATTTTACATTTCCTTCAACGCACTCGGGTTTCAATGGGTGTGAACCACTGGAATCACAATCAGCGTGCCATACTGGTTGCTCTGCATGAGAGAAAACTGTGAGGCTGGCTTGCAAGAATGAGCACAGAGCTGCAAATGGGGGGAGGAACTTAGCAAGAATGGACTGAGAGGAACCATGGATTTCAACAGCAAAAGCAAAGTCATGCACCATGCACCCGAGTCAGGAACAGTACAGGTTGGAAACAAACCTCGCTAGAATTCAGCTTTGCAAGAAGAGAAGCTGGGGCATCCTGAAGGGCAGCAAGCTGAATGATTCAGCAGTGCTTCTTTCCTGCAAAGCAAGCCAAGTTCATGTTGGCCTGTGTCAGTGAGAGCACAGCAATAGATTGTGGAAAGTGATTATTTTCCCCTTTGCTCAGTGCTCATGAGCCCACATCTGGGATACAATACCCAGCCTTCAGCTATGTAGCAAACAAAAAGCCTGTGAGGTCAGCAGAGGACCACCTTACAGGGCAGGGGCAGGTCCAGGGAGATACGAGCACGTGCAAAGCCAGACTCAAAGTGATCAAATGATTGGGTTTGTTCAATATAGAGAATAGCAGGCTAAGGGGAGAGCCAGTTGCTGTTTTTTTTTTTTTAAGGTAATAGGTTGTTACGGAGAGACAGAGACAGACTCCTATTTGTAGTGATCAGGTGAGGATGAGAGGCAAGCATCCAATTGCAAGAATGGCAATTCACAAGGGATAAAGAAGAAAAGAAGTCTGATGGTCAAGCACTCAGTTTTCCAGATACCAAGGATGGCTATTCTATAGTTGACTAGACAAGGCTCTCGGCATCCTGACCTGATTTTGAAGTTTTCCCTGCTTCAAGCAGGAGATGGGACTAGAGACCTCCAGAATTATTGCACGATTCTAAGAAAGCATCAGACCCCCCACCAGGCTTGAACCAACTGTCTGTATGGCAGTAAGCTAAACAGGATTAGGATATCCAACACCAGCAAGTTCTGTTTTATTTTGGGCACAGCTGATGCGCAGGAAAATATCACAATCTGCATAAGACACCTCCTTGTACAGAGATGTAACTTGACAGCCAGAAGCTCTCCAAGACAAAAATGTCTGAGTTTCCATAGAAACTCACTCAGCTACTTCCCCCATACCCAGCCATTTCTCTACAGTAGAGCCTCAGGGCTGTCAGCACAACTGTACAGAACCAACAACAACAAAACCACCACCCACAGCACACGCTAGTAAGCATCACTGTCTGACTTGGATGCTAGTCACAGAAGGAGCAAATACATACCCAGGGATCTGCCATACCCTGCAATACCAGTAACAGACACCTACCTGCTAGTAAATCACCTACCTGCTGCTTAAAGCACACAATCAGTGCACAGCACATCTCACCAAGGGCTGAAGGCTGTACATACCTGTAATGGCATCGGGATGTGCTCAGGACATGCCCAGACCCAGTGCTAGAAGGAGCTCCCAGGCACGGTACATCTTAGGGAAGCAGGACTTTGCTCTCAGGCTCAGGAAGGGTACACCTCGTAAACCTTGTAATTACCACTCCCCAGAATGTTCTTTACTGGAACAGCACACAAACACCTTGGTGTTACAATTACTTTGCATTCAAAATTCCAGGTGGGACAGACGCTGCCTTCTCCAGTACCACATTAGTTTATTGGGCCTTTAACTTTTCCTTTCCATGTTCTAGTTGAGCTCATCCATTCCTGTACCCTGTGCTCTTCAACAGATGAAGATTTTCGGTGAGCACAAGAGAAGCCAGCACAGTCTCGCACCGTTTTGCCAGTGGAATGCTCAGTCCACAACCTATTCCCTCAGCTCCTCCTGTCCCAGTGCCAACCTCCTCAGTCATAGGCCACAAAACTTGAGTGTGAAGGCAAATCTGTCTTCGATCAGAGACAGAATGTTGTTAAAACACCAAGCCACAGCTCTCATTGATAAACAGTTACTTCAGCTGAATAATCAGAAACCTCACTGGAGTCATACTTTTTTCATGCAAGTATTCTGCAGAAGCAGGCTGTGGTAATGAAAGTTGAATACAAGGCAACCATACAGAGCTATCAGCAAGCCACCAAGATACTTAGCTTCCCCTCTATCCACAGCATTATTACTAGAGACCACAAGTGACCCAGTGAACTTTGAATATAGTATAAGAAATACCAGGAAACACTAATTTCCTTCAGAAGTTTCTTCTGTATTCACCATCAGAAGGCACGGCTGCTTTTTCCTGGTTTCTAAATGAAATCCAGGCACAGAACATAGAAAGCTTCAGTCTATTGAATAAGAGCAGCCATGTCTTGCTAGGTGCCTTTGAGGGTTTTGAGATTTTTGTTTTGAGGATTTTTGGGGGTGATTGAGATTTTCTGTTTTGTTCTTTCATCTCTGATGTGAAGTAACCAAACAGCAAGTCCTCCTACATTAGCATTGCCTATAGAAGCACACATGCAATTATTGACCCCATACATTTCCTTCCTCTTTACGTACTAGATATTCACTTGTGATACCCCGCTAGTGTCAGAACACTAACCTGTGCCCCCTAAAAAAGGAGCATAAACCAGCATAACTGCAGTCTCAAACACTTTGTGCAGCCAGCTTAGAAAAATCTCTAGGCTGATTTTCTCTGCAGTTTCAAAGTGCTTGGAAAAGGGACTTGCCTGCTCATTTTTCTGGAGACACATTCCACAGCACATGAGATGATACTTTATTATTACTTTTTTTTTTTTTTTTTAAATCTTTGCTACTGTTAAAGAAGAACGGCTGAGTTCCTCATCCCTTCCACTTTTGGGTCAGTCCTGCAGCATTCAGCCCCCGAATACCACTGTTAGCAGCTGCCCAGCACTGATAAACTTGCACAAGAGGAAAGGAAAGAGAAAATATTAGATTTCTAGGAACTTGGCTAAATCCCAGATCAAGTTTCTTAATAACAGAAGTAAAACAGAGAGGCCACAAGAGCACTGTACAAGCAAGAAGCTGATGGTAGAGAGGCTCACACCAGAGGGAACTCAGCTGTATGGCTCCAGGGGCTGCGCACTTCCAGAAGAAGCAAGGACCTGCCTTCAGCTCCTTCACTTCTGGGGGCAGATATGTCAGCATGCAAAAAAGGGGTCTCCAGTCCTACAAGGCAGCAAAATTCCTGAGTGGTGGGGAAGAAAGACTAGTAAATAGAAGGATTTCTGAGGCATGCAGGAAACCAAACAAACCTGTTCTGTCCTTTCATTCATAGCTGTACTGCTTGTATTACATGTAACTTTTTTTTTTTAAAAAAAAAAAAAAGAAAGGGGGGAAGGACTGAACAAAATGCAGTTTTGAGGACATAAGGTTAAATTGTTTACAGTTAAAAACATACAGAGGTTATTCAGTAGAGTTCCTGGCTATTTTTAAGATTGACAGACACTTGTAAGGCATAACAATTCCTAGATATATGAGCAGATTCCCCACACCTAGCTGGTACACCACACACAACCCAGCACACTTCCACTGTTTGGGCTATCGGATTTTCAGTCAGTAACAAGAGACACAAAGCACACAGGAGAAAGACTGCAGTTAGACCACAGAGCCTGCAAAACAAGACACTGTGCTAACACCAATTCCCGTCCTCAGCAAATTCACAGTCAGCACAGCATTCAGAGAGGTGCACAAAACTATCAACTCACCAAGAACACCGCACTTAATCCAGAAAAGCAGAATGCCAAAACACCCCCACTTCTCTTTCAAAGGAGCCTACAACACATTCCCACTAACCTTGCTTCAACAACTGCCCTTCATAACTGTACCCACCCAAGCCCAGCTGCCTCTCGTACAGCTATTATGAAGCTGAGGGCACACACTAATCAGCTAAATGAATCTTGCTGGCCACCTCCCACTCACTGTTTAATGGCTTTCCTTGGCTTTTGGATCAAAGAAAGGACTTAACCACCTATGTCAGTCAGACACCACAGATGAATGCCGTAAACGTCCATCTTTAATTTTATAAGTAGGCAACAATTCGTGAAAATCAGAGCAGGGAGTATTTTTCTAGAGTAGTCTCTTACCATTGGTTAAAACTATGATAATAGACATAATCATTCCTGAGCTTTGAAGCCTGGTTTAGGAGAGCAGGTACCTGCAAATAACAGGATGTAGCTTTTCTGAGTAGCCACAATGTAATTAAAAGATATCATGTATACAGGTACAAAAAGAGCTTCTGAGTGCTGCCAAGTTTTAGGCCACAGACTGTATCTCATCAGTAGTAATCCACCCTTTTTCCACAGCAGCCTCAGTCATCAACCAACCTATCTGAAATTATGTAGCAGTAAATAACTGTGGATGGCAGAGTACTCACAGGTAACTCCAGAGTGGTGACTTTCCATACTGTGGTGGCACTGTGCCCCAAATGTGCACGGCAGCTCTTGTGTTGGTGGACAGCACTGCATGGAGAACACCCTGAGGACGGTCCAGCTCAGCAGTGAGAGCCCAGATATAATTCAGGGGCAGAATTTGAGAACAAGAAGTAGGGACTGCCAAAATTCAGAAAACAGAGCCTAGCAAATATGTAGGCTCAGCTGTTGACTAGCCAAAAATCAGTTGTGGAGGATGGTTCAATTGTACTCCCAGCAGCTAAATTTGACTACACTGGGCTTGCCACAGATCTGCTGGAAGGGCTGGCTTGTTTAGGTATTGCTTGTAGCTGTGGGATAACTCAGGTCCATATCTAGAACTGGAACTCAGATAAACCTTGCTTCCTTCACTTGCCTTTCTTACAGTATTATCTCCCTTGTCTCAATCCATCACTTTTGGTATTCCCCAGGAGCAAATCTAGTGATACAGTAACGTTTTGTCTGCTTTAAAAGCAGTCATCTTATTTCTAGGAAAAAGTGTCTACCTGTAATGAAAAAGAACCCATTATTCATCTCTTCAGCTGATGATGGATATTTTCCCTGCATAATCGACCTGAATGTGCTTCCTAGAAGGTAGTCTTATCAGAGCTCCTCTTCTGAGCTTGCTGCCCTGGTTTTGCTAGCAAAAAGCAGACAAAAAACAATACATATATATATATATATATATATATATGTATTATATATACATATTCCCATCCCATGCACCATGCAATGCCACCTAGCTTCCTTTGTTTTGGACAGTGTAGGGTAACTTCCTTCAGGCAGTACAATAAATGTTTTTGTATTTCTTTGTGTCATCCAGACAGCTCCTTCCTCACTGACCATACACAGAATACTTCACAGCACTTTGAGAGATTTCTAACGCTGCATTCACTGCCCATGGCTGGCACAACTAAACAATGGGTTCATTTCTTCATTGTTTGGATTTGTTCGGCTTTTGCTTCTCTGACTGCTGATAAACCCTTGTGACTATCCCCCGTGCCACTAAGCTATTTCCCAGAGCTACTGAGCAGAGGCTATTATAACTGTGCCTTAAGTGGCCGTATCAGCTAAGGTATTTCCTTTTCCTCATGTGTTTTCACATGTGTCTATGTGTGTGAGGGCTCTGGCAACTGGATAGAGTCTATAAGATCTAACTGCTACAACATCTCACATTCTTCAAAGACAATGGAGAGGGTAAATTACAGGATGCTTTCCTGAAAGGGTAAATTACAGGATTTCTCTCTAAGAGAGAAATAATGAGATTTTGAGAGCTTAGCCATAGATATGAAACAATGACTTCCAGCTAGCTTTCTACAGACATGTCCCTGTATGCTATAGGAACCTTCCTGCTGTGTCAATGACAGCAGTATAAAGAGGTACAGGAGAGACCTCTACAATATCTACGCTGAAGGAAATACCTTCTCTCTGCAGGGATCCACAGTGAAGTAAAAAGCAGTTGTGGATGCTAGCTTGAAGTTGTCACAATAAAGAAACTCTCTTCAAAGCCTATGGTTTCATACAGTACTTCAGAAAATGGAAGTATGCTTGGCTAAGGAAAATAGCAAAAAACAGGAAAGATGAGCATTTTCAGATTCTGCCTTAAAATATCAAGAGAAGGACTGAAGTTGCAGCTTGCATTGCAGCAAAGTTATGTGAGGACATTAGGCAATGTGGAATTTGGCAAAAATTCTGACAGATTTGTTCTTTGTTATAAATGGTGTACAAATGCAAAGGAAACAAGGGGTTCTGGCTATGGGCTGGGAAGTGAAACTCTTGCTAAGAAAAAAAAAAATCCCCAAATGCTGCATACTCTTGGACTGGAAAACCAAGACTAAGAAAACTTGTTTGCAATGCCATGACCTGTCAGTTCGGTATGCTGATGTATACCTTTCTATTTCCAAAATCATTATTCAGAATAATTTCTCCAGGGTAGGGCTGTGTTTGATGGCTCTCCACTGACTGAAGAGTTATTTGATTTATTTACTGTGAAAGGCAGGGTCAGAGGACGATTTGTAAGCAAAAGGCACAAACCTTTGCTGATTCTGTTGTCTCACAGATCTCATTCTGCTACAGCTGGTGGCTGAGCTTTTCTGCCTGGGATGGCGGAGGATCAGGAGCTGACTCAGCCACACAAAGCTCAACTTGAGTCCTCCCTTCAGCAGCGCACCAGCAACACATACCGCAGTGCAGAGCACTCTCAGGCCTTGCTCAGTGGCTTGGTATCTCTTCGAGACAGCAGCATCCTCTTCGATGTAGTTCTGGTGGTAGAAGAGAAACCTATTGAGGCTCATCGGATACTGCTAGCTGCATCCTGTGACTATTTCAGGTACATTTCCAATATAGCAGCAATAAGCATGTGTCTGAGTGCAACACAAAACTGCAATATCCAAATCTTCTGTGGTAGCACACTTAGCATACTGCTTCCAGATGTAAAATTAGACCCATAAGGTGGAGCTGAATGGGTTTCAAAATACTAAAGTTAACTTTATTCATCTCTCTATTATGTCTCTGTAGAAATAAAACTCTCGTTAGTGCACAGTGAGCTTACTTCCACTAAAATCACAGCCTATAATGCTTACAGGTATATAAAGAGGAGAGGCTATCTGCATAAGTGCTGGCTTTTAACATATCTGTAGCATTGGAAGACTTTACCCAATGTGGTGATCGGTTCCTAATACACAAGAAGTCCCTCAGACTAGGTCATTCCTGTGTTACATGCCTGTAGTGTGCCTTGCCGTCCATTCAGCAAGGCAGTGCCCAGGTCAATTTGACTAGCAGTTTCTTAAACTAACTTTATTTTCATAGAGTAAACATATAAATCCCAAAGCAATCCTGACAAATTTGTAACTGCAAGAACTGCTCTAGATTAGAAAAAAACTCCTATGGACCCAAGTTCCTCTGTTTTTCTCTTCTCCCATTCCTAGTGTCTGCCTTTATCCCCTGATTACCCCTGTGTTCTGGGTCTGTATTTAAATCCCTCAGCTGTGAACCATTCTTTTCAGATGGCCCCAACTGTTTTCCCACAGAATGAGGGGTATTACTTTCTTAGGTCCTAAAGGCCTGTACTTTTTATTCCATTGACTTAGAGAAGAGGTAATCCCATAGAAGTGTCTGACTAGGATTTATCTTTCTGAATATTTTGTTATGTTCTCAGGACAGCATGAGATAAGCAAATTGAATGTAGCTTCAGTGCAAATCTGCTATAGCATTGTCTCTTTTTACAGAGGAATGTTTGCAGGAGGACTGAGAGAGATGGAACAAGAAGAAGTCCATATTCATGGCATCTCCTACAATGCAATGTGTAAAATCTTGAACTTCATTTATACTTCTGAGCTAGAACTCAGCGTGAACACTGTACAGGAAACCTTAGCTGCAGCCTGTCAGCTTCAGGTGAGGTACTGGGAGATGTGATGAAAAAAAGCAAGGAACAAAAGCAAGACTGAAAGAAACAGAAAGCATGGGTATCTGGTTGGGTGGAGGGCTAGGAGGTGAAAGAAACCGTGGTTCCAATGAGAAGAATCTCTTTGGGATGCTGTATTCACTGGAACTAACTACAGAGGGGTTGGAACAATGAATGAGTGCTTGCACATCTCATTTGTGCTAGTGGTTTTATCACTTACAAACCATTTGGGCTAAAGGATTAGTTTATATAGCACTCACTTCTACTGATCAGCATGTGAAAGCCTCCCTAGAATAGTATACCTCTGACCTATGGTAAAGGACAGCTTGCAGCTCAGAAACTGTTGTGCTGCTCAAGCCTGCCAAGATCTTCCCCAGATTGAGTCCACAGGCGCATAACCTTCCCTGACCTCATCACTACAGGAAATCCTGCCACCATGGTTTCTGCACGAAGTGCAGAGTTTTTGTGAATTCAAAGCTTTTTTTTTCTTCTCTATTTTCCCTTGCAACTAACTGCTGCCCAGGCTTTGGTACTAATCTTAAACTTTCTGGGTGCTTTCGTTGATTTCTGCACACTTAGCACCGGTTTGTTAGCAGAGGGGCTCTTGGACAGTAGTTATTTCTGTATTTGTTAGTAGCCCTCCTGACAGAAACAACTTCAGGTTGTTCTCAGAAGACAATATGAAACATTAATTTTCCTTTCAAATGACTTCCTGTGCTCTTGAGTGATGCAGATATATTTGTTATAGTTTATCTTTGATACACCATGTCTGTAGTACTCTGAGAGAACAACTTCCAGAGGCAGCTGTAAGCCTGGCTGTCACCATGCCCTTCGCACTTTCTGTTTACATGACTGCCTCCCAAGCAGCCTGTATCTTGGTGCCGTGCTAACACACCAGGCAGCCTGGCTGTCCAGTGTCCCATGTGCCCCAGAAGACGCATTGCTGCTGCTGCTCCTGAAACAAAACTCAAAGGCTTGGCTAGATCTGTGTTATATTTACCTACG